GAAACAGGAGGACTCATTCTAGCAGCTCAAGAGCAGGCACTTGAAATGAAGAGTATGAAAGCCAAGATCCAGAAGACCAGCGATGGCAACAAAAGTCCACTTTGCAAGGCAAAGGAGGAAACAGCCGACCACATGGTCAGGGCCTGCAGCAGAATTGCTCAGAGTGACTACAAAGAATGTCACGATAGAGTTGCAGCTACGTTGCACTGGAATCTTTGCAGGAAGTATGTCTCGCCATCAGCCAGACATTCATGGGAGCGCAGACCAGACAAGATCATGGAGAATGATGGAACAAAGATTACAAACAGATAAACACCCAGACCATAACAACCCTGATATAACAGTTATATAAAAATGAGAAATCGGATTTGGATCGTTGACACTGCAATCCAAAGAGACAGCAGTATAGAAAAGAAAGAAGAGGAGAAGACCACACAAGTACCAAGACCTACAAATAGAGTTAGAGCGCCTCTTGGAGAAGAAGGTGACCATTGTGCCAGTTGTCAGCAGAGCCCTTGTCTGGAAGTCTCAAGAAACACCTGGACATTCTGGGCATTGGGCAAATACCACCAGCTCAGCACCAGAAGAAAGGGTTGCTTGGAACAGCAGGACTCCTGAGAAGATACCTTGGCATTTCTCAAAAACTTCTCTAGATCTTAAATAGCAGAAAACCACCTACCAGTCAAATATCTGACCGTGACAATTCATCATCATCATAATCAACAACAACAATGCCAGCAATTCCAAGATTTAGTAGCTTTGTCAGTAAGGTTAAAGGTAAAGGTTTCCCTTGCTCGAAAGCCAGTCGAATCTGACTCTAGGGTTGAGGTGCTCATCTCTGTTTCCAAGCCGAAGAGCTAGCGCTGTCCGAAGACATTTCCGTGGTCATGTGGCCAGCATGACTAGATGCGGAGGCGCATGGAACACTGTTACCTTCCCACCGAAGTGGTCCCTATTTATCTACTTGTGATTTCTTGCTTTTGAACTGCTAGGTTGGCAGGAGCTGGGGCCAGAGATGGGAGCTCACTCTGTCATGTGGCACTCGGGTCTCGAACTGCCAAACTACTGACCTTCCGGTCTGCAGTTTAGTGTCTTAACCACTGAGCCACCACAGCTCTGTCAGTAGGCACCAACTAATTCAGAAAGTGTGGAATCTGATTAGTTTTAGAAGATCTGGAAAAATCTCCCCTGGCATCATCCACGCTTTCTGTAGACTCGTTAGCTTTGCTCTTTTGGCTGGATATCGGCCATCTGTAATTCAGTCAGCTTCAGAGGCCCAGTTTGCAATGAAGTGGAATGCATTCCCAAGCAGGACGTGTCCAGTCAATTTCTGGCTGTAACCTCAGGTTGAGTGACAGAGTTAGTGCCTGGGTTTCAGGTATGCAGAGATGCTGAGTCGTGTTCTGGTGGAAAAGTAATGCAGTGCTAATCAGATGCTCAAATCTGATGTTTTTGGCTTGCCTTCCAGAAACTGCAAGCTGGAAGATTTCTTGCAAATATATTGCATGGATCTATTTTTGATACGGGAACTCAGAATTTAACTCAGATGGCGAATGCACAGAAGGGATTTTCAAGTGGCATTTCTGGAGGCTCTGAAAAACTTGCCAGGAATCTTTCCATAAGGTCAGAAATGACAATCGAAACTCACAGCAAGACAACCGGAATCCTGCCTCTGGAGGAGACTGGGGGTATCTTCCAGGAAGAAGAAGAAGAAGAAGAGGAAGAGGAAGAAGAGGAGGAGGAGGAGATTGGATTTATACCCCACCCTTTGCTACCCAAGGGAGTCTCAGAGCGGCTTACAAACTCCTTTCCCTTCCCCTCCTGACAACAGACACCCTGTGAGGTAGGCGGGGCTGAGAGAGCTCTGACAGAAACTGCTATTTTTCAAGAACAGCTCTTATCAGTACAGCTTGCCCAAGGTCATCCAGCCAGGTGCAAGTGGAGGAGTGGGGAATCAAACCCGGTTCTCCCAGATTAGAATCTGCGCACTTAACCACTCTACCAAACTGGCTCTCTGAGGCCATGTATGGGGAGTATGAAGCCCAAAAGTCCTTGCTAATGCCCAGTGCCCCACACATTCAGGGAATGTGCACCCTAGAGCATGCCTCTGAACCTCCCAGGGGTTTTTCAGTAGATGCATCAGAGTCACTGTAGTAACCGGCTGTTATTTTATTTTATTTTTAGTTGGCAAATGTAGTTAGTTCTTAGCAGGAGCCCAAGGTTGGGTTCCTGAGACTGATGTGTTGACCCACCTGCAGGCTATTAGTGGGTTACTTAGCCTGACTCTGAGGAAGGGGATCAGGTGAGCCTGGTTAAGCCTAATTGGCAGTTAGTGCCGGTGGTCAGAGCTCCAGTGTGGTTAAAATTGAAGCCCTTCTTTTATTGGTTTGGACTTTAAAGTTTCCTGGATGCTATAGGGGGTGGGGGGTCTTTTTTGAAAAAAACTCAACTCTGCCTAGGGTTGCCAAGTACCTACCTTCGAACCGGCGGGGGACACATGCTTCTCCGCCAGAAGATTCTTGCTTGTAACACAGGCGCTGCACTATTCCATCACCCAGTCATGATATAGGCACGTAGCTGGGTGACGCTCTAGTAATGGAGCGGGAAACTCGATGGTACCATTGAGTTTCCAACCCCACTGCTAGAGCGTCGCCCGGCTACGTGCCTACGTCACATCTGGGTGACAGAATAGTGCAGCGCCTGTGTTTTCCCCACAGGAATGGTCCCGCAAAGATCTACATATCCCTCGCCGAATCAAGGTAAGTACTTGGGAGCCTTGACTCTCTGCCCGTTGGAGTGAGCTTGTAGAGGTGCACCCTGTTTGACTGCTGTAAACAGATTGCTGGGGTTATACTATTCAAGGTAAATTAGATAGAGGCTGAACCATTTTCTTGTTTTGGTGCACAGAATACTGGTACTTCTTTGCCCCAGGATAAACGATTTTGTTACTTACCTGTGTGGTGGTGTTTCTGGGAGTCTGCAGAAGGATGTTCCAGTTGTTGTTTTTCTTGGCCCGACCAATATTCTCTGAGTGGAACTCTGGATTCTGGCAAGGGTTGGGATCCCTGCTGGAGGTTTTAAAGACAGCCAGGTCGGTCACCACCTTGTCTTTGACTAAGGAAGGGCAGTGGCACTACAGTCATGATGGGAAGGGGTTTATGATGGCTGGAAGGCCATGGAGTGTGATGGAAAACAAAGAAGCATGCACTTCTGTCTTGCCTCTCCCCCCCTGAAAGAGACAATTACAGAACGAGCAAAAGAAATGCAAAATCCAAAAGGGAAAGAATCAGACCCCCTTGGTCTCTTCCCTCCGGCTTCACTGCAGGATGAGCCACTGCTATTGGAGGGAAGGGTCACCAATAAGCACAATGTATTTGTATTCAGTAGGCAGGGCGATGTGGTGGTTAAGGGTCAGGCTCGGATCTGGGGGACCCGGGGTTGAACCCCAACTCTGCCGGGCAAGCTAGTCGGGTGACCTTGGGCTGGTCACACATTCTCAGCCTGGCGTACCTGACAAGGTGGTGATGCTGAGGATTAGATGGAGGAGAGGACTCTAGGTTATTCCGCCCCCCCAGAGACAGGAAAGGGAGAAGTGAAATCAATCAGTGTATCTCTGTGAAAGAGGGTTGTCCAGTTGGATTCCTGGCTGCATCCGGCTTTGACTTCCCGTGACCAGACGAAGATGCAGAGGGAAAAGAATCCAAGCCTCTCTCTAGGGTTTGCAACTCTGTAATGGACGATCCATGGAGATTTGGGGGGGGCAGCCTAGAGAAGGCAGGGTTTGAAAAGGAGAAAGTCACAAGTACCAAGTACCACAAGTACCTCAAAAAGGATATTATAGCATCAGAAAAAGTGCAGAAAAGGGCAACTAGGATGATAAAAAGGTTGGAACACTTTCCCTATGAGGAAAGGTTAAAGCGCTTGGGGCTCTTTAGCTTAAAGAAACAACGGCTGAGGGGGTGACATGATTGAGGTTTATAAGATTATTCATGGGATAGAGCAGGTTGAGAAATAAGTGCTTTCCTCCCTTTCTCACAATACAAGAACTGGTGGGCACTCTATGAAATTGCTGAGCAGTCGGGTTAGAACGGAGAAAAGGAAGTCCTTCTTCACCCAAAGAGTGATTAACACCTGGAATTCACTGCCACCAGAGGTGGTGGCAGCTACAAGCATGGACGGCTTCAAGAGGGAATTGATAAGTATATGCAGCAGAGGTCCAGCAGTAGCTGTTAGCCACAAGGTATAGATAGGAACTCTCGATCTGTGGCAAGGGATGCTCTGTGTTTTTGGTCCTGGGGGGGCAACAGTGGGAGGGCTCCTAGTGTCCTGGCCCCACTGCTGGACCTCCTGAGGGCAACTGGTATTTCTGGCCGCTGAGTGACACAGAGTGTTGGATTGGATGGGCCATTGGTTTGATCCAACATTGGCTCCTCTTATGTTCTTATGAGAGGGACTCCACCAAGTGTATACTACCCTAGAGTCCCCCCCTCCAAAGCAGCCATTTTCTCCAAGGGAACAGATCTTGGTCCTCTAGAGAGCAGCTGAGATTCCAGATGTTCAGACCCCACCTGGAAGATGGCAACCTTTCCCTCCCACTCATCCCATTGTGGCCTGAACATTTGAAAAAAAAAGATATCAGAGGGCACGCTGTTGGAGATCCCAGGTTGAGGCATCTCCCTTCCCTCCCCCACCAACTCCTTATCTGGGTACACTTCCAGCCTCCGGTCACTGATTCTTAACAATTACTGAAAATGTGGGGGAAATGCAAGTCTAAGTGCATGGGTACACCGAACATGAGCATCAACTGGTGTGCCATGAGGTAACTGAGCAATGGTGGACACTCTCGATAAGCAAAGAGGCTTTTGTTCTCCCCCCCGTGAACTTTCATCGAGACTTTATTGAGCTGCTGATCTCAAAGGAGCCGTTGTGTCTATGTCGTGGGGCCAGTGCATATGAGCCTCTTGAGGTTCTGCCAGATCAACAAAATCAACCACACATCTTCAGCTCCCCAGGTGGGGTGTCGTGTGATCTCCCCCAGCTCCATTCCCAACCGTGCCACCTGTGATGTCCCGTAACTCTTTTTCCAGAAACCCGCTGATGTCCTTACATATGGAATGCACGGCATCACAGAGAACTTTTATCATGTTCCGCATCCCTGCCATTTCTTTATGGACGTCGTTCAAAGCAATGTATTCCTCACAGAGGACCATCATGTCTCTGGAGATGGCCACGCCCTCTTCCCAGAAGACCTTGTCCTTCTTCCAGAAGGCCTTGCATTCCTTCCAGTAGACCACGTTCTTCTGCTCGAGGGCTTCCATCTTCTCCTGCAGTGATTTGTTCCTCTCTTGCATGGCCTTGTTGGTTTCCCGGAACTCCTGGTTCTTGACCTGGAAGGCCTTCACCACAGTTTGTAAAGATTCAGTCCTCTCCTCAAAGGAAGCAATCTCTTCCACCATGGCCTCAATCTTCTCTTGGAAGGCCCCAATCTTTTTTTGAATGTCACTCACCTTCTCCAGAACGTCCAGCTTTTTCCTTCGGAAGTGGTTGATCTCCAACATGAAAAGTCCTCGGTCCTCCAAGTAGTTATTGATCTCCTCCAAGAATCCCTTGTTCCTCTGTTTATAGTTGCGGATATCCTCCCACAAGGTCTTGGTTTTGTTATTCTCCCGGAAAGCTTTGATTTCCACACGCAGGGCCCTGCGTTTTTCCCAGAACTTCTTGATTTCTTCTTGCAAGGCCCATTTCTCCTCCTTGAGACTCTTCTGTAAGAGCTGCTTGTGCAGGGATGGGGGCAAAGGGGTCATGTGAGGCCAGCTCTCTCGCTTGGCAGAAAGGGGAGGAGTCTCTCCGCATTTCCTGCTCTTGGGGTTGACACTATCAGGGGCTTCTACCAGCATTTTCTTCCTGTTCTCCATTTTGTCAGAGCTGGAGAGAGAAAGAAAGAGAGAGAGATGGGTGGGAGGTAGCACAGAAAGAGGTAGTTTGACCATTAGGACCATCAGGCAGAGACCTGTAGGTAGGGTTACCAGCTCCGGGTTGGGAAACAGTCAAGTCAAGGACAAGAGATCACGGACAGGCTGAACTTAGTGAGGGAAAACAACCATGATAAGATAACGAAATCTCGTTAGGAAAAATATATGTCTTCTTTAATCATCCAGTAAGTGACAAATCGTTAAAGGTGTTTCCTTTGAAGTAAATTGGCCTCAAGTTTTTCTGACCTACAGCGCTCAATAGACCAAGTCTTATGAGGAAAGGCTGAAAGAGTTGGGTATGTTTAGCCTGGGAAAGAGAAAGCCTAGAGGGGACATGATGGCAGTCTTCAAGTATCTGAAGGGCTGTCATGTAGAAGATGGAGCAGATCTATTCTCTCTTGCTCCGGATTGCAAGACTAGATCTAATGGGTGGAAATTACAAGGGAGTCATTACCAGCTAAATATCCGGAGAGACTTCCTAACCATAAGATTGGTTGAGCAGTGGAACAGTCTACCTCGGGAGGTGGTGGATGCTCCTTCGCTGGACGTTTTCAAGTGGAGGCTGGACGACCATCTTGCGGGTCTGTTGTAGGTATATAGGGCTATCTTTCAGCTATGCTCCTGCAGAGTACAGGGGGTTGAACTAGATGACCTGCAAGGTCCCTTCCAACTCTAATATTCTATGATTCTATGACCATTTCACTCAATGTTTCAACTTTTTTCTGCGCCCTCTTCCTTTCTAACTTATATGATTTTGTTGTATGGAAAGGAAGAGGGAGCAGGGAAAATTGCAGGGAAAAAAATATGAAAGGCGTAAGGTCTCATCTGATGAAACCTTGAGTGAAATGGTCTATTGAGTGCTGTACCATCAGAAAAACCTGAGACCAATTTACTTTAAAGGAAGCACCTTTAATGATGTCTTACTCACTGGATAATTAAAGAAGATCTATTTTTCCTCAACAAGATTTTGTTATCTTATCATGGTTGTCTTTCCTTACTGTCAGCTAAGCTGCCGTGAGTAGAGAGAGGCTTTCTAATTGCCGTGCATTCCTTCCCATGCGCTTAATTGCTTCACAGCTGCAACGCTTATCTGAAAAGAGCTACTGGAGGAGTTGTGGTGTCTACCTTCCGTGGGATCGTCCTGGTTATCAGCTTCGCTACCGTTAGAGACTCTCACTATCTCCCGCGCGCGGGAGCCCATCTAATTGGGTATTGCTGGGGGGGGCGCATACAAATGCCCTATATCCTATTATGCGCATAGGTAGTCCGCCATTCCTAACAGTGTTAGTGTTATTGCATCTATGGCTTTTCAATAAAAGTAAAACCTTCCCGGAAGCGTGTACTTCATTGCTTTGCTGTGGATCCTGACACTAACTAAGTCCAGGTTGGGAAACAGCTGAAGATTTGGAAGGAGGTGTTTGAGGAGAGCAGGGGACAGACTTCAATGGGGTATAGTGCCATAGAGTCCACCTTCCAAGGGGCCATTTCTTTGTAGGTGAACCCATCTCTTTCTCCTGGAGGTCAGTTGTAACCCAGGAGGTCTCCAGCCACTCCCTGGGTGGGGGCTGATGGTCTATGGGGACCTCCACCAGGGTCTCCCCAACCCAGGGGTCCCACAAGACAGGGCAAGGATCCACCCCTTCTGGCTCCATCCCTCCCGGTGCCATAATGTCCTGGTCTTCTCCATCTAGGGTTGCCATCCTCCAGGGGGGACCTGGAGATCTTCTGCTGATCTCAAGGCGCCCACTCTCATGGCTTTCTGCAGACCTCTGGACACGTTCGAGCATGTGAAGTCTGCGCCCCCTTTGGCTTGAGGCTCACTGGTCCCAGGACTGAATCCCACCCACTACATTCACCTTCTCAGGGCCCTGATTCTGTAAGAAAACAGATCTGGGGTGTCCACGGACCTGCAACTCCTCCTTGGCTGTGATGGAGGCTCCCTTGAACTCTGTTACCGGGGCAGCCGGTGACCATGAACAGGAGAGATTTAGAACCTTCTGGAGGTCTCCAGGTTCCATCCTTGGAAGGCAGAGGAGGCAACCCCAGCAGTTCAGGCTTCCAGAACAGGCAGCACGGAGGATGGGAAGGAGCCAGAGTGTGGTGGGTACATCAGGCTGGGCATCGCTTAAGGGCAGGAGGGCAGCGCAGGGATAGCGAAACATGGGCAACTTCAACTACGGTTTCCAGCCTCTAGGTGGGGTATGGAGATCCCCCAGAATTATAACTCATTTCCAGACTGCAGAGATCAGTGGGCAAAAACGGCTGGTTTGGAAAGTGGAGCATTGTGGACTTTTCTCTGCTCTGGTGAACCCCAGAACAAGAACGGGTTCTATCAACCTGCCATCTGGTGAACGTTTGCCAAAGACAATAGGGAACCCTTCATGTAAAAGTATAGCCACAAACAGGGCTCTTTTTGTAGAAAAAGCCCAGCAGGAACTCATTAGCATAATAGGCCACATCCAACAGCAGAAACTCATTCACCTATTAGGCCACACCCCTGACAGCACAGCTCATTGGCATATTAGGCCACACCCCCATGTTGCCAGAAGTGTGCTCATCCAGCCACACACTCATCTTTTGCTAGTTATTCTGTTTACCTTGTTTGTTGTCAAAACCCAGGGCTTTTTTGTAGCAGGAACTCCTTTGCATGTTAGGCCACACACCCCTAATGTAGCCAATTCTAATGAGTTTCTGCTGTTGGGTGTGGCCTATTATGCTAATGAGTTCCTGCTGGGCGTGGCCAACTTGGGAGCCAGCCAGAACTCTGTTCCTGTGCGTTTCTGCCCAAAAATAGCCCGGGCCACAAACAACACCCACCAAGGGAAGGCCATCTACAATTCACAACTATGTTCAACTATGAGAGAGCCAGTTTGGTGTAGTGGTTAAGTGCACGATCCGGGAGAACTCGGTTTGATTGCTAGCTATGGGGGGGGGCATGCAGATCTGTCCTTGCAGAGGAGGGAGAGCTTGTACCTGAATAAAACTTGGTCCTAAAGGTCATCTTTTGCTAGTTATTCTGTTTACCTTGTTTGTTGTCAAAACCCAGGGCTTTTTTGTAGCAGGAACTCCTTTGCATGTTAGGCCACACACCCCTAATGTAGCCAATTCTAATGAGTTTCTGCTGTTGGGTGTGGCCTATTATGCTAATGAGTTCCTGCTGGGCGTGGCCAACTTGGGAGCCAGCCAGAACTCTGTTCCTGTGCGTTTCTGCCCAAAAATAGCCCGGGCCACAAACAACACCCACCAAGGGAAGGCCATCTACAATTCACAACTATGTTCAACTATGAGAGAGCCAGTTTGGTGTAGTGGTTAAGTGCACGATCCGGGAGAACTCGGTTTGATTGCTAGCTATGGGGGGGGGCATGCAGATCTGTCCTTGCAGAGGAGGGAGAGCTTGTACCTGAATAAAACTTGGTCCTAAAGGTGCCACTGAACTGTTTTAGACCGGGGGGGGGGCACGGCAATTTACCTGGCTGCTTCTTGCTCTGACTGAGGGCTGTTGGGAGCAGGGGATGGGGCTTATCGCATGTGCCCGCCCCCTGGGCTCTTTACTGCCAGAGCTCTGCTCCTGTGCGCTCCTGCAGGAAATCACCCCTGGGGCTGAGAGAGCACTTTCTAGAACAGCTCTGAAAGAATTTGTGACTGACCCAAGGTCACCCAGCTGGCTGCATGTGGAGGAATGGGGAATCAAACCCACTTCTCCCAGAGTAGAGTCTACACACTTAAACACTACACTACACCAAACTGATTCTTTGAAAGAAAAATGGAGTGGTATTGTATATAAAATAACAATTAAACCCAGTTTGGTGTAGTGGTTAAGTGCATGGACTCTAATCTGGGAGAACCAGGTTTGGTTCCACATTCCTCCACTTGCACCTGGCTGGATGACCTTGGGCAAGCCATAGTTCTCTCAGAGCTGTTCTTGGAAAAGAGCAGTTTCTGTCAGAGCTCTTTCAGCCCCACCTACCTCCCAGGGTGTCTGTTGTGGGAAGGGGAAGGCGAAGGAGTTTGTAAGCCCCTCTGAGACTCCTTTGGGTAGTGAAGGGCGGGGAATAAATCCAATCTCTTCTTCTTCTCTTCTTCTGCTTGATGGACATGGTAGGTTTGTGGGAGTAGAAATGATTTTTTGGGGCGAGTGAAGACTGTGGTTTTGGAGATTTAGGCATGAAATGAAGACAAAGGGGTGTTTTATAAGCACCATATGGATAAGAGAACGGACTTGTCCTATGAGAACTTTTGTTTCATGTGTATTTTTGTACATGACATGTACAAGACTAATATACACTGAGAAATTTAAATCCTTAGTGATACCTACAATAGAATGGATGGTGAAGATGATGGAACTTGGGGAGATGGCTAAATTGACTGCTTTGATCAGGGAGAAGACATTAACTACCTTTATAGCTAACTGGAAACCCCTGATGGGCTTTTTGCATGAAACAGGGGGGGAAATGAACTGACATCTATGTGTTTGAAGATTAGGAAAGAAATTATAGATAAAAGAGGGGTTTTTTTTAATTGATGAAAATAGAGAGAAAATGAATAGAGAATTAAGTTGTACTAGCCGTAGATGAAAGTCAGATTATTTTCCCTCCTTTCCTTTCCTTTTTCTTTTTCTGCCCCCCCCCCTTTTGCTTTATAGTTTTTCTTTTCTCATTTTTCATGTATTTGTATTCTGTGTAAAACAAAATTTAAAAATTTAACTACCAAGAATACCTTCCCTTGGAGGAGAGGCTGAAGAGACTGGGACTTTTCTGTTTAGAAAAGAGATGACCGGGGGTGGGACATGATAGAGATTTATACAATTATGCCCGGGGTGGAGAGAGAACATTTTCTCCCTCTCCCAAAAGACTAGAACTCCAGGGCAACCAATGAAACTGATGGGCAGGGGGTTCAGCATGGACAAAAGGAAATACCACTTTACACAGAGAGAGATGAAAATG